TTTTTTTCTGGCTTTGGTATGAGTGATATTAAAAAATTGACATTTGGGGTACTGCATTAGGGGATTATGGGTCCTATCTAAATTTGGACATTATGCTGCCAGGGGAAAGGCAGCATGTCTCTATTACCAGGTGTGGATAGAAATCCACGTTACCCACAATGCTGCATTTGGTGCCATGGGAGGGCTACTTTATTGCTGCTGGGTACAGGTGGGATTTCAGGCTTCCTTTGGGGTCTCACTTCCTGTGGGGTGGTGGCTTCACTCTTGCTGAATGGTGATGAATGCTTTGGTTCATCTTTGGGCTTTCTCTGAAGAAAGGGGTGGGGTGCCTTGTCCTTGCCAGGGCAGGATAGAAGTCCTGGTCCCCTGCTTGGTCTTCAGTGATACCATCCTGGCATGGAGAAGGGGGAGAGGCCTCGTAATAGATGGGCAAGGACTGATGGGGAAGGAGAGGTGGGGACAGGATATTTTTTTCCATGGTGTCTGGCTGGAGTAGGGCTATTATTTCCTAAATGTATTTTTTGTGTTGCTAGATCCTGCCTTTTCTGGATATTTGGCAAGAGAGAGCTGACTTTTGTTGGGGAATTTTTAATCTATTCCCATTGACTTTCTTACTATCTGGTTTGGGATACATGGGATATAAAGAAAAGTTAGAGAATGGACTACTATGTCTTATCATGGGACCTATGTGCCCAGCCCTTCTGATTCCTTGGCTGTATCTTTCAGAGTATTTGATATATCTATATCTATATCTATATCTATATCTATATCTATATCTATATCTATATCTATATCTATATCTATATCTATCCCATGGTTTTTAGTGGAACTTAGAGTAGTAGGGAGAAATGTTAACCTGAATGTTGCTCTGGACTGTACATTTTTGGCAATTATTCATTTTTTCCATTCTGCTTCATAATGTGGATATATTGATTTGCCACATCATAGAATACTACAAGTAACTTGTACAATAAACAGAAAATGGCAAGCAATGGGGTTTACCAGATATACCTCTTGTCTATAAAAAATAAGCCTTAACATCCCATCATAAAAAAGCAGGCTAAGTGAAATAAAACCCAAAGTATTTTAATACGTGGACATACTATAGATGTACTATATATTTATTTATTAATTAGTTTTTAAAAAGGAATGATAACTCTAAAGATTTGAGCAGGGATGTTCATAGAAGTTATTTCTGTGAGATCCCCAAACTGTAAACAACCCAAGTGCCATTCATCCAGTGGAAGAATAAATAAAATAAATCTATTCAATGAAGTACTATTTGACAATAGCAGGGAATGGAGTACTGATATATGCTACAACACGAATAAACTAAAAAAACATTGTGTTAAATAAAAGAAGGCAGCCAGGAGAGACATACTGAATAATTCCACTTACATAAAAATGTTCAAAATAGGCAAATTCATAGGATCACCAAGTAGATTCCTGGATGTCTAGGGCTAGTGCAGGAGGGGTGGGATGGGCACAAAGTTTCTTTCTGGAGTGTTCTAAAATTAGAATGTTCTAGATGTTCTATTGTAAATTGGATTATTGCACTTGGAATAACTCTGTGAATATAATGAAAACCACTGAGCCATCCAC